AAAAAGCTAGCTCTCAAGCTTCTTCATTTGTACAATCTTTATGAATTAGATCATATAATTGAATACTAACATTTTCTAAACTGCATCAGGTCATTAGAGGTAGGAGATGAGAAAACCTAAACATAACTTTCATCTTGATTGATACACAGATTTACTCGTTATGTTTTGCGAATTAATACTTCTTGTGGGATTCAAATCAAGTGTGTGTGTAAAATTAGCATAGAGACAAGCATATTTATTTTCATAACGTCGTGTTTTTGGAGAGTCAATAAACCTTTATTGTACAAACCTTTATTGTTCTTACTTCGTATTGTGAAAATAATATTGGTTCTGCTTTTCAGATATAAACAGAAGATTCATAGATATTACAAAAACCTTGAACTATGTTTATCTAGAGATACAATCTAATTACGGTAAAAAAAATTAACTACGAAAATATGCATAACTCAAACTATGGGATGCTCGGGTGTTAGTAACTGCCACAAAAAATGCAGTCTAAAGTAACGCTCGCCACTCAAATGACGAAACAGTAATGTAACGGAAGGAAAATGCCAAAAATCCCTCCACAGCATTTCACTGAAAAGAATTGTCATTTATTTGTTTCTTCTCCCTGTAGTGTATTTTAACCTTTATTCAGGTCTCTATTAAAGGAACTTTATGTTTTTCAGTCCTTCTTGTCTGAGCTTCTATTATGTGGCCTTAGTTGAAGACTTACCTTTTATTGCTTAATTTTACCGTTTCATGTTGTCGGACCTTTGAGAATAAGGTTGCGTTTGATTAAAATCAAGATCATGGCGTGGTTCATTATGTGAGTATTAACCTTTGACTGTCTGTTTGGAAAGATTGCTGGAATCCCTACAGAGAGATATCTGATCCCATCTCGTTCGGAACATTTTTGTTGATTCTCATGTATCGACTTCTTGTTTATTAAATATTTATTTTCTTTTTTGCACATTAGTTTGTGCTAGAAAAACCCTTCACTGTATAGCACAGTCTGCACCGTTTGAGGTATTTTATACTTTTGATGTACTTTATTCTCTTTCCTGAATTAGAACAATTTGAATTGGACACAGAGTTTGTGTTTCTATATAAATCAATACGAGTCACTCAAAAACGCTTTGTACGCTATACAGAAATACGCAGTCTGGTTTAATGGAATAACCTTTAGTTTGTAGTGACCTACTTTTGTCAACAGAACGCGATTGGTTCGATGAAAACAATTATTATTATAACCAATTGTACCAGTGATTGTTTTATTGTGCTCGTTTGTTTAACTGTGCTAATAACAGCTATTTCGGTCTTCCATTTGTACTCCATTCCTTCTACGCGGTTTTCGACTACGCACGCACCTTTTCTTGCCGATCGCATCTGTACTCCTTTGGCCCGATCTCGGTATTCTTTCGATACCACGAGATTGCCAACAAATATATTACAACTACTACTATCATCTGCCTTCTGATTTTTGGCCTACCGGAATCTTATTGGTCTAATGGCACGTAGTCTGGTAGCGGTGTTCATAGTCAAGCTCAACTCGACACCACGCTACACGTTCCTTAGTACTGCGTTCATACCGGATATTAGTATTTTAATTGCTACAAGTAATATCAATATGTTTGCGGCATTTGTTCAAGGTAATAATCGCTTTGTAATTCCAATTATAATATGACAACCTCATATACCACAGTTTAATCTATTTCATGGGTTTGTCCATGACTACTACAGGATATATAAGACAGATCTGAAGATTACTAGATTTTATTATTGAATTTAGTAAAATATCACTAAGCTCTAGTCAAATCATCCATCAAACTGAACCGTTTACACGTTTGAAAATTAGTCACTACACGTTGAACCGTTAGTCAAATACTGACAAGATTATATATACCCATAGCAGATGAAGGTTATGGAACTACGGAAGTACACATGGTTCTCATGGCTTTTCAAAGCAATAAACTTGTCATAATCCAAGAAGTTAACAAATTTTTAGGAAAGTACCTATTAACTGATGAGGATTCTTATACCAAGGTGCCAAATATACCATACCACATTAGTAGAAATAAATTCTAATATAGTAAGCTAATCCACAGTAATAAATAACATCATTTTTCGTTTTTGGAAAAATCGAGGTATGTCGATACTAGATAATAATCGATCGAAGAAATCATCCCAAACCAAATGCATTTTGGAAGATCATTGACTAACTTAGGCCTGTTGACTTCCTATCAGGATTACAAGTGAGAGCTTGTCTCGTGATGCTATTCGATGATTTCCACAATGTCTGTTCCATTCACTTCCAGCGTTTTTTTCCTGAATCCTTTGAAGATGCCACAGGTATTCGGAGTTTGACAACGCTTTAACCAGTAACACCTTCTAATATGAAGCGTACCCACCAAATGAATTCAAAAGACAGAAGCGAAGAGGTTCGAAGATATATTTGGTAAGCTATCAATATATCGAGGATCGTCTGATCTAATCTGGCTAGCGATTGCAGTGGATGTTGAGCACTGAGTTCCCACACGTGATCTGGTGCGGATGCATGGTTGAGCGCCTTCAGTTAGATGAGTCCACTAAAACTGTGGCCAGCATCCAATGTCGAAAACTTACGGAGCTATTTATTTTGGGGATTTATTTACCGCTACACCCTCTTCAAATGAAAATTGGTTTGTTCTCTCACGCAGTAGGTTTTTGCTGATGGTATCCAGTCAACGGGCACTCGGTATCCTGCGTAGACAATTATTTATGGATATTTGTATTTTTTTACAATGTTTGTGATAGTTCACTAAGTTTCAGCCTCATACAGAAGAATTATCTTGACGTCCGTATTAAAGATTTTGACTTTGACATTGGTTGACAGACAGTTGCTTTGTGTTCTATATGTTCTTCAGTTGTAGAAATAGCGCCATCCCTTCACCAATCCTTGCCTTTACATCTGCATCAGATTCTCCTTGTTCCCTGATGATGCTGTCCAGGTGTGTATAACTTTCTCTTACAGAGCTTATCCATCAAGTGTAATTGAGTCGATGTTCGCCGTGCCGTATTTAAGGATCTTGCATTTTTCTTGTGTATGCTCAGGCCTACTGATGCAGAATCTTCTGCCACACTGGTTGCCTTGACCTGCATTTGTTCGTGTGTATGGGATAGAAGAACTACGTTATTTGCGTAGTTCAAATCTTATATATGATTCCGAGCTTTCTGTTGTATTCCGTGCCTCCGCTCAGTTGTAGATGTCTCCATAATCCAGTCAGCCACTAGAAGAAGGAAGAAGGGGAAGAGTAATCAGCCGTATCTGACTTCAGTTCTTTCTTGGGATGCGTCTCTCAACTGTTCTCTATGCACCACTTCGCAGTGTAGTCCGTCGTATGGATATTAGATGATGTTGACAATCTCTTCAGATACACAATAGTTTTTATAAGGTCCTGCCATTCACACTGTCAAACGCCCTCTCATAGTCAAAAAAGTTAACGTATAGCAACGAGTTCCATTCAATAGACTGCTCAATGATGATCCGTAGTTTTGTGATTTGGTCTGTGCACCACTGATCCTTCCGAAATCTAGCCTGTTGATCTCGAAGCTTGATGCCCGCTGGATCTTTCATCCGGTTCATCAACACTCTGTTAAAACCTTTTCCTGATACGATAGTTTTATGTCCCTAACTTATAAGATTATTCTGAAATGTGATTGCTGACTTATACAATCAGACTAATGATGCATAAACCTGGACAAGCAGCCTAGAGTTCCGATTGGTCCCTTTTCCACCTAGCCTTGCCTGTTAGGTCCAGAAGGCTAATGTCGGCCTCTGCGATGCAAATCATATATATATATATATATATATATATATATATATAAAACTGGGTTCATATACAAACAAATCAGACCACACCACACCTTAACATAGGAAATAACATTTATACAACATCAAACCAAAAGTGGCTGAGATTGTGAGGAACTGTGACTGATAGACTGAGAATGACTTGGGAATACCAAACAATATAACGGTGACCCGTAGGTAAATAAAAGCTCATAATGAGAAGAACACGAATATTAACATGATGGAGTTACTTCATAGTCATACAAAAAGAATCTTCGTACAATATTGGACCATAAATAATTACTACCTGTCACCATTCATTTATTCTCGCTCAGACATAACAGATAGTAGTGTGATGTCTCTGTAATTCTCACGTTGTCCCAGATCTCCTTCCTTTGGCATATTGATGAGGTTTCTTTCTATTCAGTCTATTGGCACTGGTCCCTCCTCTCAAATCTTCATGAATAGAACATGGCGCATATGTCCGGCTGTCCCTATGTCTGACCTTGGTGCTTCAACTGGTATATTGTCAGGTCCTACTGCTTACCCACCCTTGATTCGTCTGAAGGCCGTTCCGATTTCTTCGATCGCCGGTGAAGTGACATCTACGGGAAAGCCTGTGTGTGCTACTTCGGTGTCTAGTGGATTCAACGAAGCTAGTTTATTCAAAAGTCCCTCAAAGCGTTCGACAATCTGTTTCTCTGTTCTTGAATCTTGATGATTGGTTTGTCTTTTTTTCTTGGCCAGTCAATCTGGTTTGCTGTATTGCCCTATCAGTTTCTTCGTTGTGTCATATAGTTGTCCGATATTTCTTTCTCCTACAACTTTTCCCTCTGTCACTGCTGGCTTTTCTACCTATTTCTGCCTGTCTTCCCTAATGCCTTTATTCACTTGCTTTTTCGCTTCAGTGTATTCAGCTTGTTCCTTGACTTTTTTATTCTTGTTTGACTATTGTTAATTGCTGTCTTCTTATTCTTCCTTTCTTGAATCTTTCCAGGGTTTGTCTGACTTATCTTATGAAGCCAGACTGAAACACTTCAACTTACTTCCGTTATCTTACGTAGAATACGCGTTGATCTAATGTTAGCTTATCGTATACTGGACGATGACCTTGTTATGAATATATCCTACTTTTTTCTTCCATCTGGGACTGATCATTTGAGAGGACATTCGAATAAATTCGAAAAACCAAGATTAAATTATCTACGTCTGGAGTTTCGTTTCTCGCACCGAGTAGTAAATTACTGAAACTCCTAACGGAACACTTTCTAGTGATATATTCAAAACAGGATTGGACTTCTACAGTGTTAAAAACCGCAAGGACTAAGGTAAGTCGATAGACCTCCTGTCTTTGTTACTGAAGACTGAAGGCTGATTAGTGGAGGGTATTCGTCGTATACGCTACAAGGGCGGAATTTTTTGCAAGGTTTCCAGTACGAAAATGGTCACTTTGTAGCTATGAAAGTTACCTATCATAATGCATCTAAAGGTATGTCACTAAAAACTTTATTAGCCAGCTTTTTTATTATCTTAAGTCTTTGCTTACTATACTATAATATTATTATCTCTGGATCCGAATCCAATAATATCTTAGCTTGCAAATGTTCATTCATAGCTTCTCTTTGCACTCGAATCAATTTATTTGAAACAGTAATACTTCTGTAATAAAAGATTCATAGATTCCTTATCCAATTACATTGCCTATAAATTCTGTGTAATTATTCAACAACTACGATTCTTATTACCTGCGAATTCGACTCTGTTGAATAGCTACAAGCGATTTGGTTGACCACAAACTACCTCAGTTAAAAGTACGTGAGGCCGCTTTGTAGACAATTAGGTTGTTCGCTCATGCAACTACGAAACACTTCCTATCGATTGTACATAACTCTTGGTCAAGGCAAATTAGTTCATTATCTTTTTAACAAACCCCATTTGCCCGCATGCGTTCCGCATAGGATCGTGGTAAATATTATTAGTTCTTTGCATTGTGAAGTATTTTGGCCTGGTTCGGAACCATAACTTTCAAAAATGTATGAGGTAAAGCAGTTTAGGACTTCGTGAATCAGTTGCTCTAGGTTTTCTCCTAGGTTCCTGCAGTTTTTGATTATCAATGATGAATGGAATTCCCATGTTACATGAATTAAACTTGCCTTTTTATCAGTTTCTTAGGAGTTCCTTCAGCTGTTTCGTTCCATAGTTTGTAAATTTAAAAATGTAGTATCGGCCATTTAAATACGAACTATAGATTGAAGAACGATACTTACTTCGATTTTGTTAGGCTTTCAAGTAATTATGCCGGCACCTATATGTATGGAGCAAAATGAACACAAGCCTACAATAAGTTTGTCTTTTTTGCTTGTTTGAATTCTTCTGGAGCGCCGGATGTGTTATAAGTTTTAAAATTGGACATTATTTATAACGAAACAAATGTTTTCTGATGCAGTCAGTCAGTCAGCTGCAACGTAGGACCAGGCACATATATGTATCGGTCCAAGTTGTCATACCGCATTAGCACAACAAGATGAACACTGGATTCATAGAACTAGTCACATCAAAGGTAGTAGTATATAAAAGAAAGGTTGTGTATAAGAATATAATACAGGAAGAAAGAATTAGTTCGTAGAAAGAACAGAGAGTGTATACACCGACGCCATTGTGATCGATTCTGGGCCATGTCACCAAGAGTCCCCACCCATTGGTTACGATAGTCACACGGACCCCAATCAGGCAGTCTGCATCTACCAACATGTCTCAAACCAGAAGTTAGTGTCTCCAAGCACTGATGTCACGTTTTGGTTTGGCCGCCTCTAACTTTCTTCCAACCATTCCCAACACCGGTTAACATTGCGCGTCGTGGTAATCAGTGTTCACGCATATGTAACACGTGACCTAACAATTTCAGTCGATGAAGATTCACAATCTCATCAACTGATTTACCATCATTCCCTAAAACCCTGCGTCTAGCCTCACTACTACTTACACGGATATCTCGCCTTCGCCATAGATGACGTAGGTTGGCAAAGGCCAAGCGAGCTTTTCGCATCCGTGGTGCGATTTCGTCAGACACCAACCCATTAGGGCTGATTAGACTTCCAAGATAAGTGAAGTTGTCGACGCGTTCGACTACTTCACTCCCTATCCTTAGTTCAGGTGTTGACGCAGACCAGTCCTGAAGCAACAACTTGCATTTGGAGGGAGAGAAGCGCATCCCAAACATTCTGGCATTGTTGCTCAGTGCTTCCAAAAGACTCTGCATTTCATCAGCGTCTTCACCAAACAGGACTATGTCATCTGCGTATTCTAAGTCAATAAGTGGACCTCCTGGTATGAGATCAATACCTGAAAATTCAGTCGATGAGAGCGTTATTTCCATCAGTAGATCTATGATGAAGTTGAACAAAAATGGAGAAAGTGGACAGCCTTGGCGGACGCCACTTGAGGTTGCGAAAGCAGATGACAGTTCGCCATAAGCTCTGACCCGACTAGTAGTGTTCGAGTAAAGAGCCTTCACAAGGTTTATGTACTTCTGAGGTACGCCTTTCAATGACAGACACTGCCACAGAACCTCTCGATCTACAGAGTCAAATGCTGCTTTTAAATCAAGGAAGACCACTATTGTCGGACGCCGATAAGTATGCCTGTGTTCTAGAACCTGACGAATGGTGAATATGTGGTCGATGTAGCCACGACCAGGTCTGAAGCCAGCCTGATTTTCACGTGTTTGCAGTTCACGAGTCTTAGTTAGGCGTCCTATAATTATCGAGGCTAGTATTTTAGATACTATATTAGTTAAACTAATCCCTCTATGGTTGTCACAGGGTGATTTTGACCCTCTCTTATATATTGGGACGATAAGTAATTGTGACCAGTCAGAGGGGATTATGTCCAACTCCCAGATTTTAGCTAAAATATTAGTCAACCTAGTCGCTAAAATTGGACCACCATCCTTAAAGACCTCTGGAGCCAATCCATCTAGACCTGCTGCCCTTCCTCGTTTTAGATTAACTATAGCCTTTTGAACTTCAGCTAGAGTTGGGGGACCTACTTCAATGTTCCATTCACACTGTCTGGGAATGGAGGGTAGTTGTAGAGTAGCTGAAGGCCAGCTAAACTGTTCTCTAAAGTGTTCTGCCTATCGTTCTAAACGTCTGGACTGGGAACAAATGAGTGCCGTTTTTACCGAAATAGTCTGACGTACACTTATTAATTCCAGTTACTTTCATTAGTATGTAGAGTTGTCTTGTGTTCCCTATAGCCGCCGCCTTTTGCTTTCGTTGCCCACCACTGCTCACGGTCGTTCCTTAGACTTTTGTTTAACCTAGATCTGATTTGTTTCCGCTCTTCATCGTGTTCAGAACCTGATGGGATGAGTTTACGAGAATCCATCAGTGCAATAGACTTTGAAGAAATCCATTGGTTCTTTGTAACTCTGTGGTTTAAATTACTAATTGATGTCACTGCTGTTTCTACAGCTGATTGTGTATCTTTCTAAGCAACATCTGGGTCAGCCTCGTTTTCAGAACTACCTAAGTGTGACCTCAGTTGTTCTTGGAACCTACTTTTGGTTTTCTCATTACTCAATTCGGTTCTAATGAGGCTTTTGTGTGGCTTTTTTGCGTCCAGTGAGGCGCAAGCAGATGCGTGCTCGTATTAGGGCATGGTCGGAGTCAAGGCAGGTACTCCAGAATGAGCGACAATCTTCTATCGACCCTCTCCAACGATGACTGATGGCAATATGGTCTATTTGAGTCCATCGTTGATTTGCTGCAGGGGGTCGCCATGTCAGACGGTGTCTCTCCTTATGCTTAAAATTTGTGTTTGCTTAAAATAAACGGTTGTCTGAGCATAGTTGCAGCAGACGATCACCATTATCTGTTCGCTGTGCCGGAATACTAAAATACCCACCTAAATGTCTTTCTGATTCGTTTAAGCTACCCACCTGGGCATTAAAGTCACCTGCTACGAATACTATGTCTGAACGTTTAGCTTTCTGAAGAAGTTCAGAGAGTTTTCTGTAAAATTCATCATTCACTTCATCCAAGCTGCAGTCAGTGGGATCGTAGACAGAAACGACGCAAAGGCAACGACGTGTGTCTTTATCCTTCCGAGTTCTTATGGAGTCGTTTAGCCGAACAGCGCATAGACAACCGTTTACGGGGACCCACTCTAATAGCGCTTGTTCCGCCCTCATGCTTAGTACTATGCCTACACCTGCCAGTCCACGAGAACTAGCCGTCGGGTCGCCAGATACACAGAGGGTGTATCTCGTTGGCTCTCCGTTTTGCCGAGGCGAGGTCAAGTGAATGACCACACTAGGATCCTATACTCGTGTTTCGGAGACACAGCATACATCAACGATACGAGATTCTAGGATTTTAGCCAAAGAAGCCTGCTGACCGATTTGACATAGTGTGCGTACTTTGAAGGCTCCAATGTATAGTTTGGAGCGGGGTTTCAGTAGACCTAGAAGCGTTGGTTATGGTGATACTTGAGGGGGAAACCAAAGGAGGAAGTTTAGGTTTGAAAGTCGATGTAGGAGGAATAAGCAGAATTGAAGAGGGAGGTTGATTATGAATACAGTGGTCTTGAGTGCTGTTAGAGGTATGAGGGAAGTTATCACTTCCCGGTTGCCCACACCGTTGAAGGGTTCTTCTGGAGGTACCTGAAAAGGAAATTGGCTTAGAGGTGGTCATAGTGACCTGAGAGCGTGACCGCAGTGCCCAAGGGACAGCTGCTTGAGGTCGGTCACACACGACCTTTTTATGAGTAGTTTTTGTGTTAGCTCCGTACTTGTTGAGACCTTACCGCCGGAGACGCATATCCGTGGGATAAGGCGTGGTGTGCATTTTTAGGGTCGACCTTTTTAACCTCACCCCTCCTTTTGGGAAGACAGCATCGCTGTTATGCTGGTTGTCTGAAGGAAACACCTTACTGCTGTCACACCTCTGTACAGTCAGCAGTACGACTTCGCCTTCGGACCTTGGACTTGTTACTTTTAGTCTTACTGCTCTTCAACCGACCTGTCTGGCATGGTAGGACCTTGAGGAACGGTTGTTCCAGCCAGTATAGCTCAGTTGCTTCATCACGATAGGCAAGCCCGACCACCACATCAAGGTAGCAACAACGGTCGGGGTTTTCTGATGCATGAAGAATTATCAAGTTAAATTGACGGCGTTAACATTTGGTGGTTCGACGCTGAACCCAGCTTTCGCGCCAGTTGGGACACATCAGTTTGATCTATAGGATTCTATCAGCGCTAAGGATTAGGTAAACAATACGTGTAGACCAATCAGCTTTAATTTACGGTTGTTACGATCCATAATGTCGTGTGATCATGACTACTATGATAATGTATGTATCTCAGAAGTAACTATGAGAAGCTTTACGGGGTTTATCAAATCTCATTAGCAATATACGTGACTCTCCTCTTTTTTGTTATATGTTAAAGCCTAAAAACCAAGTTGTTTACTGAAGTAAAGTATGTTGGATTAAGATCTTTTTTTCTTTTTTCCTAGATACAAACGTTTTAACACGCACTAACAAGAAGTACGGGCCAAATACTTGCCGAGTAAGACATAGACGACGTAACTGGAGCTCACACACTTCTCGTTTGTCACCATGTATAGAGGAATCATCTAAAGTTGATTGTATGGTAACCAGTTCGCTCAATGGTTCTCCTGAACGCTTATCATCGAATCCTCCTTCACTAGAAAGCAGTAGCTCGTGCAGTTTAGCCTCTTGTTATGGGGTATCAGCCCCATTTATCCGCCCCTCCATGCCTCCTGGTCCACCAACGTCACCTGTTCCGAGCCCGCCGCCTACTCCTGTAACACTTGGTGCTGTTGTGGAAGCCCCAACAAATCCTGTTTCTGAGCCTCGACAGCTTGACTCTATTCCTAACCTTCCAGCCGTACTCCGTAATCGTTTTAGACGACGTCGAAATGCTATTTGTGACTCCTCGGCTCTTGGACAGGGATTAAAAGATTTCTTTGCTTCTTATGTGGTTTCTAATTTAACTGATTCCATGACATCATCACTAAGTTTGGGATCATCCTCTGCATGTCCCGTGTTCAAATCCTCAATACAACCGCATGTTCCCAACACAGTTTCACGTTTGGCCCACAGCGATTGTCTCATATCACCTGTGTGTTTGATCGATAGCGAGTCACAATCTGAAAGTCTGTGATACAAATTTATCCTACCAGTTTTCAATTATCATCAGACGGTATTTAGTTCACTTTTCGTAGTTTCTTAAAGTGATTTTTGCCAGTCAATTTAATATTTCACATTATTAGATAATTTCAACACGACCATTGGCATTTGTTTACCCCTAAGTATGTATGCATACTTTACCTGTATACGAGTCTTTCTGTACTCATTGCTCATCCTATGTAATTTTTTTCTTAAACATGCTTATACTTTCCACTTGCTACCAGCTAATAGCTGTGATTTATTAAAAATATTTCAAAAGTATTTTGTTTTTATACAGATTGTCATCAAATATTTTCATATCTTTGCTACGTTGGTGTTTCGTTAAAAAACTAATATCCCACCAGGATAGTTATCAGTAATCCCTTTACGTCCAAAAATTGAATACATAATTCTTCTGATTGTGGCTTTAGGTAGGAGTTTCAAGATAAGTTTTTCAATCACCGACGTGCAACGTTTCACCAAACTTTACTCAAGGCGAGGCCATTTCGTATATTTATGTTTCCCTGAATCTTATCTTCGATGCTTTGTCTTTTTTATTACCGAGGATACTGTTATTACCTCGACTATTCTGGGATTAAGCCTGAAAGTTTTATCTCTCTTTGCCGTGCTATGGGAACCTAAACAGATGTACATATGTACTAGGTCTTACTTTGTGACTGTGACGTCTCCACTATCTGTTGAAATTTAATGTGAAAGTAATGGAAACTGTAATGAATGTACTCAAATTTCTCCTAAAAACAATTATGGAGATGCAAGAAAATGAAATAATGATAAATCTAAAGTATATCTGCAGAAATTGAATGCGACCCCACTCCCATATATATATATCATCTAGATCACTTCCCACCGTTTCCGCTTTTCAAGGCGCCGCTCTAATTACTGGAATTGTTCCATGATGCGGATTTGTAGTTGTCACCGGCTGTTTTATATCGTCGAATATATTTTGACACATAATTATTGTAGTAGATATCTCTTACCATATTAGATCACTTCTAGGTAATCCTAACACTAAATAGTTATACACCAAAAACTCTGTTCAGAACAACTTCCGGTCTAGGTGATGAGTAGTGATGCATTTAAGGATCATCGTCTACTATGTATGGAAAGGTTGCTGTTTCAAAGGCATGTCTGTAGATGTATCTATTGAAACAACCAGTTACCTCACAAAGTAATTTTCCACTGATTCTATTCAACGATCATATTAAACTCACTAAGTAGTGGTCTGCAGATGTAGCTCCAAACCATTTTTTAAACGTTAAGGGTCAGTAATCCCACATGGTTGCTCAAGTCGAAGTAGGTAGGGCGGAGACAAAACCTGAGATATGACTGCGAAGTAATACACTCCAATTAGGCGATTGGGATTCAGTCAATAACTACGCTATCTGCCTTGTTGCACTTTAGCTACATCCACACGAAAGTCACCTAATCCTCGGATACTTACAAAGTGAACTGTACTGGTGTCAATACACTGGTTGGATGGAATTAAATGAACGAGCACTTCCGTCCATTCGTCTCATAAACGACACGGATCGCGGTGCGAAAATGTTAACCGGGGGTTGACTGGGTGGCTTAGAGTAGCATGCGCGTGTCAATTACAACACGCAGTCGGTATACCCGCTTCAGAAGGTGCGCTCACAGACTTGTAAGAAATCAAAGTATTTTTGTCGGAGGTAGAAAAGAAAAGTTAGGATCGTAAAGGGGTGGCAATGTTTGGTGCTGTTGGTTGAACAATTGGACAAGAAGAGAGTTTGGTCCATGCAATCACTTGAAAATCTGTCTGCAACCGGCTAACCAATCTACGTCAATAATAGGCAACATATCTTAATGTAACTGCGGCGAACTTTTGTTCGCTTCTCAAAGGGTCTTACCATCAGTCACGGGAAGACGCTGAATGAGCAGAAGTCCGGTTTTTCTTGTCCCTTTTTTCATATCACCAAAACAGCATAGTTGTGAATGTTTTACCTCCGAAAAATCCAGCAACGTTTACTGACGGTGTAGGAATTTAAGTTGGGAATTTTTATGCTAAAATAAATAGACTGGATAGCTAACTTTGATGACGAAACCACCACAGCAACCAATTACATAATCTCTGTGGCTAATCATACACCAAATTTCTCATCCAAAATACTCAGTTTGTACCAAATAACCATTCCCTACCTGCATTTTTCTCCACACAGTAAAAAAAGCATGGAACTCACTTGAAGTATTTACTTAAAATGATGACTTATTCCAGCGTTATTTATCAAGTCCTGGAAATGCTTGGATTTTATTGGTTAGTGATGGATTTCGATTACTTTGTCAAATCATTATATGTTCCAGAAATTAAGTCTCTCTGTGTATGTCCAATATGAAAAAAGTTAATATATTTTGTGAGATGCCGATTCAGAAAAATATACATTAGATGACAGTAAAACTGTACTGCACTTGCAAAATAAGCATCTTGATACATTACATTGAAGATTTGCCATATGACGAGACGACTAATTCATAACCCACACTGAATTTTTAATGTCAAGCAGACGGTCAATATTCGTCTTTTGCTTCCTACTTGTCTTCTTGACTAGTAGTGCCCCCAAATGCCCTGGTACGGCCGAAAGTGGGGAGAGTCCGCTCTCCCTCTCGAAATGCTCTCACATGGCCACGTGTACATAGCCCCTGCCAGGGAAGTCCTACTCACTGCCTTCACGTGGCGGGGGTGTTGTTTACGAAAATGAGAGGAAGAAAAGCGAATGTCCGGCGCTTTAACCGGACCCCAAACCAATGGTGCACATGGGCTGCAGTATCCTGAAGGAACAAATGGCGTATGAACCAATCGTTGGTCACCGGCTACCATGGGACTGCATCTCCTCACGATGCTCCACTGCCTTGTGGATCAGACGTTCAGGCCAAAGGCTCGGGGTGTGGCCCCTAAGAAAACCACCTGCTTCGGTTTGGGCACCCGAGCAGTATCACAGCCCTCACACAAATCAATTGAGATTCGTGTGGCGCATATGTACTTGGTGCCTCCTTGTACCAATACCTATGTGTTAAAATAAATAAATCTGATGAGCAACTCAATTACACTATTATGGACATAATAACTTTAATCCATTAATATATCCAATCACTCGGCTAGTGGTTCTGTGGTGTGATATTTATTTGACCCGAGGTCCGGATTTCAATTTCACGAAAAAACTTGGCGTAGCCCCTACTTTGCCGTACGGTTCGAGCTTTCCTATCATGATGACCCGACTGGGCTATATTGGCTGAAACTCTCGTTACATTAAGCCCTACCAGACCACCCGGGTTGAAGAATAAAAGCTGCGAACTTAAAGTCAGAGGGCGAAGTTGTACTGCCAACTTTACGGGGGGGTGACAATTAAGTGTTTCCCTCATAAAACGAACGTCTCCCCACTACGAAAGACGGGACCCCGCAGCTATTCACGATCACCCTCAACTTAGTTTCATTTTCAAGTCTCTCGAGAAGTACCCTTCCACAGTGTGATAAAATAGCAAGTGACAAACGTCTTTATACCAGATAGGAATTCATCCTTCGAATCAATTAGTCTACTTTCAAAATTTAATATTTCTTAATTGTACTGTACAATTTAGGTAAAGAGCTGATGATTAAATATTCGTATACGCTTCAATACACGTCAATGACATATCATAAAATCATGGTTCAAATAAATACTTAACTGAGAACGAAACTTATTATTGTATATCTTTTATATATTTGCTAGAATGACAATAGTATTATTATCAATCTCTGTATACTTTTAAAGAAACCTTAAAATGTAGTAAAACAGATATTCTGGCGCACAAAAGAAATAAAGGAGTGGGAAAGAAACGTTCAAGAGATATTAATTACACTTTCGAATATATTTTGTCTATTACGTATTTTATAGATAAGTAAATTTGTGTGCATACGAAGAGAAAGAGGGAATATCAGGCTACATGTTTTAACCGTTACCGGGGACAAAAAGCAAAGAAGAATAATACCGACATACACATATACATAACAGAAAAATACCAAAACAAAATAAAGGTTATCGGTGTGGATGAATGTGTTGTTTTGTTAATATGGTGGGGAAAAAAGCAATTCGAGAAAATAAACAAATAACGGTAGCGTTAGTCATTATCAAGAAGTATTTTGCTTGATTGATAGGAGCGAAATAATCAAAAGAGAATGACTTTAAAATGAACAGAAATCTGTTTACCTCTTTTCTATTTTGAAGTGTTTTATTGTAGAATGAATGGAAATTGGAGGAAGCGGATAAAAATGAAATCCTAAATTCAAAAAAGAGGCATTACATCTAAATAGTAGAAAAATAGCACCTGGGTACATAAACATAGATGTGAATAAATGAAATATTAATCGAACGTGTAGTTGTTATGACTCATAATGTTTCGATAGAAGAGGATACAATTTTATATTAGAACAAAAATTATCCATCCTATGCAAATGTGTGTTATATTATTCAATTATTACATCTAGAGGAAAAACGTAGTAGAAAAAAATACCGTCAATAACAACTTTGTAAAAGAATGCAAGTGAGATGGATATTATATTCATATTACATTTTATTGAATAACACAAATGTACTCATGTATACATTTTTACTTGGATTCTCTTACTCCCAATAACTGCATCAATTCAGCACATGACATTAAAAATGGCAAGCTACATTACACATTTATTGCCTAGAAGAGTTAATCCTCCGCCTCTATTTAACCAGTAAATAATTTTATTTGATTACAGTAAGTTAAACTCGTGTAACTTGCTTATCCGTAATCATACAGCTTCATAAGATGTGCTTATTTTTAAATGTTCTGCATAAATACTTACCTGACGACAGCTTTCGTGAAACATCTCAGAAAGTTTACCGTTTCTCGTAAAACAAATGTTTTAAAGCAGAGCGATCATTCATGACTAAATTTTATTTGTTGAAAAGAAATAAACTACTGATAACTTTTTATGTTTTCTAGTACGTATTTTGCTTGGAAGATTTTATTGAGTAGTTATCGAAGGACTATTCTATACTGTATTTTAGTGCATGATGAACATGATAGTTTTGATCAGTAGTTTTGTTGTAAATGCTTTAAAATTGTGAATCTAAAGTGATAACTTCATCAATTTGTTGATTTGACATGCAATTTAATGATTCTGGACTTTGGTAACTATCGTTAATGTAAGAACTTCCAAATTGACAAGATTCTGTTAGCCTTCTTAGAATTTTCTCACATATATCCACACACGTCTAAAGTCTTTTCACTGAAGTCCTAGTTAATACCTTCATACAAAAATTGAAATTAAGCAAATATCTGGGATGTGAACCGAGTTAATCTACTTAAAGTTGCTAAGTAGTTTTACTTAGGTGAATGGTGTTGATTGTCATATATTTAAAACCATTACACTTTATCCCAATCCAAATTAACTTTGGCGTTATCGTACTTGTCTATTAATAAAATATTGGTTTTAAATTACTATGATCCAAATAGATTTGTACATTTTTCAGGAATGACAATATTCAACAGTTCTACTTCGTATTTTGTTATCACTGAATGATTTATTGTACTTGCTATATATACTGTAAGTAATTTCGAGGTTTCCCAATGTGTTCAAATATAATAGAGATCTTTGTTCAATTAGTCATAAGATATTGTAACATCGTCTTTAACATCTTGAACACGTTTTAGGCACACTGTTTCAACATCATACCAAGAACTACTTTCTAAAAGTCCGATTGCGTGGAATAAACAGAAAAACATTTAAATTAAAACCACCATAGAAATGTTATATTTACTGAAGTTTAGTTTCAGTCACTTCAACACAACTCCTTAAATAAGGTCCAAGAAATCACTAGTAATCCTGCTGTAACTTACTTTTATGTTCTTTAAAAATACTGTGAGATGTATTTAAAAGGTATGTAATTTATCATAGATGTATTTTAGATTATTTCTACTATGGTTTTTGTTGCTATAATCATTATTGTTTAATTCTCGCGCACATATTTTTCCATTTTTTGTATCCTGCTCGATTGAAACCAGCATTTCAGAGTTAGGAATGAATGCATTCTACACTATGATCATTTATTCTATGTTAGATACATATTCAACTTCTCTATGTGCATTAAGCATAATCCTTCAAATAAAAACTACTGACAACTTGTCTTAAAACTAGATTAATAATTCAAGAAAAAAAAAGGACACATGTTTAAAGACCGATGATTTCAAACAACCTATCATAAAATAATAACACTACAATTAATCAACTTGAAGTAAAACACAAGAGAGACAAGAACAACATACCATAAGATTCATTAAAAGTTTCTTCATATGACACAGAGCTTCATGAATAATTATTACTATGAATTAAATATTGGTTGATAATTCTATCCATCGCTTTCATCAGTTTGTCCAGTTTTTTTGCCTATCAATTTTTATCATTCTCATCATCACTAACAGCACTGAGAGTTTTTATCTCGTTAGAATTCTCCACTTTATTTTGTGAATTCTCTTCAATTTGAAATGTTTCCATACTTGATTTGATATTCTTCTCATTGTCGATTAATGAATTTTGATTATAAGGAAGATTGGATAGACTACTAGCCATCATCATATTATTATCACTGTCATATGTTGTATTGACTTGTAAATCACCTGGTAATGAAAATGTTGATAAATTTGAAGAATTATAATACAAATTTTGAATTACTGGTGAATTGCTTAGACTTTCATAACCTGATGGATAAAGATTTGTTATTGTTACTGCTGAAGTTGGAGCAGTGAACTCATCACTAATGACAACAGAATGACGTTTCATTTTTGACTTTTTTTTACCATGTTTCCGTTTAACACTTTTATTTGTCAATAAATTAACGTCCGATGATACATTTTCATTTGGATAAATGTTTGTATTGTTTTTCTTTGTCTTATTTTTTTTAGATTTTTTGTTCATCTCAATTAGTGAATTATCTAACAATTCATGTTTTGGTGAAAAATTATCCATAGCTGATGATGGTGAAGTATCTTGACTGGGGAAATCAGCTTCTGTTAATACCGAATGAACTGGAATATTACCAGTACCAGGCAGTCGAAATAATCCGGGACCGTTACCTCCACTAATATTAGTTGAACCCGGTGAGACGGTAGTAGATTTAACACTGAACTGCCATACACCACGATTACTGTTAACAGTTGACAATTGTGGTAGATTGGTAGAACTTTTATCTACATTCCAGTTAGTTTCCTCATCCTGAAATATAACAACAACAAGAAATACGGAAAAACTTGGGGTTTTGAAAAATCCCCCAAAATAAACAACTAATCGAAATTTGAAAATTAACCGGTTGTTTCTGTGTGTCCTACTTTCAATAAGACTAATCCAAATTTAAGACATAAGTATACACAATTTTTACTATTCTCTCGTTAAAATTATTATTCCATTCTATTAATCCATTAAATAGATCAGTATGGAAAGAAAAAAAACAACGAGAACTCTACCTTATTTACTAATTGACTTAGTTTAAACTGCTGATACTTTAAAATAATGTACAATGAAGTTAACAATGGGCAGAAAAAATAAAACATTAAACGCAAACGAAAATAGACAATGAAATAAATAACTGCGAAGAGTGTACCATATTCAATTATTCGGCACTTTGTATTTAACTTTAAAAGAGTTAATGTTCCTATGAACTGAGATGTAAAGGAAAAGTTCAAAGTAAGTAATCACATATTAATTTTTCTTATATATACGCACTCGTCAGTAACATATACCTGTACTACTGAGGGAACTGATGTTCTCTGGTGGATTCAATTCTGCGTCACCTAGCTTCACAGTCATAGACGCTACTATTGAGGTATTCGGGTTGAGACTGACCTCTTGTAAGAATGAGATGTATTTTATGTCGATGACTGAGTAGTGATTAGTGTCATGTATCTCAACTTGGTCGATAGAATCCTATCAGGACTAAGAACGACTTGATATTGGAGTGCTTTTAGCATGAAAAAGCACTGAATCACCAATTCAAATGTACAGTTTTTGGGTACAAACAAAGGGGCTATATACCTGATCAATTACAAGCAGATGAAGTGTTTTAAACTTAAACGTTATGCTTAACAATAGATCTCCATATTCACAACTTCTGAAATTTTCTTTTTAAACAGAATTACAAGTCTCTTGTTACGTATATAATTTTCGTTCATGGTTTTATTGTGTGTCAGATATGAGGATTATTGGAATTATTCCCAACCCCCAGCCCTCACAAAAAATAGCACAATTGAAGAGCTTCGGAATGAAGAGAAACGTTAGTTAGGTGTCCTTAAAAAAGAAATTAAAAATCTTTAGCAGTGCAGAAGGCCAACTTTCCTCTCAAAGATGCAACAATACCGTTCAGTAACAATGAATTTACTGTTTATTTGTTGATTATCTTGAGACATAGTTCATCAAACTGCCCAAAGAAACCCTGACTAATGGAGTCAACTAATTCGATAATGATGATGGTCATTACTAACGGTAATAGGTATTCACAGCACAGTATGAAGAGTTTCGAGTTGTAAAACCTCATACAATTGATTTCAAAACTTCGGTCCAAATATTTTCCACCAACCACAGAATTCACGGGTATACGGTCCCATTTGAGTAACGATGAAAAACTTCAGGTAAAGTGTTATATCCTATTGAAGATTAAATTATAGGAAATTTCTGAGAACTATTAATGGACTAATTTTATATATATAGTATAAATATTCAGTAACTAGATTATGCATACATATATATTACTCTTATTATAAGCTTTATTTTGATCTATAGATTATTATTGTACGATTTACCGTTCTTAAGTTATGTTCAGCTTATTGATTACAGTCTCCCACGTTCACAGCTACTTTTTGGCTTGATTTGTATAAATTTTATTTCCTATTTTATGGTGTGATATGGTCTGTTTGGCTGATAGATAAACCGAGCATGTTTCAAATAAGTTATTCTCATGGTGGAAACTGGTATTGGTGTTCTGGATTCAACTGTCAGGGAAAGGAGGAAAATGGACCAATAAGGACGCTAGGCTGCTCATACCCGTCGAACGTCATTGGTTTGGCACAGTACTAAGATTGGTAAATAAATCACGAAATGATTAGCCGGGCTTAAAGTCACAACATAAAGAAACTTGAAATATCTAAGTGCTTCACACAAATATAGTAGACAACTAGACAGTTTCATACACACAGTTCACTTTATCATTTTGAAAGGAGCAACAGTTCAAGCCAACAGTAATTTAAATCGTAGCACGAATTGCTAGTAAAAGCATTACTCAAAGGTTAATTTATGTACAGGGTATTTATAGTTACACACGACCTTAGGCTTCTATAAATTTCTGAAACCATAATAAATAGTAACAGTACAGGTAAACATCCAGCCAAAACTGTGTTACGTAATTCTTTTTTTGCGTGTTTCTGAGACGATTCTATTCAACACTGATTGGATATAACGTATTCTAGTACTTCTGGGCCTTTAGGGATGTTGACCTTGTGTTATATATATATATATATATATATATATATATATATATGTCAGTTGCAACTAAAGCTGAAAATCCTTCTTTCTTTCTAGTTTTAATTCAAATACAACATATATAAAGAAATGAACTTTAATAACAATCAAGAAAACAATAAAATACCTACTTGTATAGCTTCAGCAATCGACTGAGCCAAATCATCCGTACCACGACCGACTAAACTAGATAAAGAACTACCCAGACTTGAGTCTTGATAACTCCCTTTTTCAAAGTAAGAATAGAAAACAACAGATAGAATGATAAAGATGCATAACGACTGATAACTAATTGTTAAAAAAAACCAACCAACTTTCAGTTACATAGCAGCCTTAGTACTCAAATAGATATAAAGTACAATTAATAAACACTCTTTCCATCCCAAAAAGATAATCACGATTAGGATTTACTGATATCACGAACGGACCTAAGTTAAACATCCACTGAACGTATAGAGTGAGGCAGTTATCCACTGAAGACCATGAAATAAGGTCAAATAATATCGCTAACTGATTGAAATTAGATAAATACAACATTGGATTTTGATTCAATGGTCTAAAGGTTGAGTGCTTGGACGCGAGATTGCAAGCTATTCTACGACGAAACGGCTGTCCAGTCTATTCTAGTTTCTAATGTTTGTCTCAACTAGGTTTGTTCGTGATATCAATAACAGTCAGTAGTCCGCATAAACCTGCTCCATATTGATTACAATCAAATTACCAATTACAGATACAACTTCAATATATACTTCTAGCATACGACCATCAAAGCAAGTTATTCGAGTGAAATTTATTTAATTTCAGATCTTTTTTATGTAAAAAAACTAGTAGATTGGCAAAAAGCGTTTCTCTGAAGTGAACAACAAATAACTTTCTAATTAGACAATATAAGTCAAAATATCAACAAATTTACCGAAAAATAGATTTTATAACAGAATCAACAAAAAAAAGTTCATATGATAAACTAAATGTAATATAAGCAAAAGATGGATGATGGCTAACAATGGAATCCAGGACGCCAATAAGAGACTGATCAATTGCAATCCTAAACATCAATGGGAAGATTCAAACAAACAATACAAAATGAATTAAATAAAATATAAAAAAAAACATTCACATTAAACATTAGAACATTCTATCACCAAGAGTATATTCCCAGAGCTGAAAAACTTTTTTTCATTTATTTTAATGAAAGCGATCAATGTGAATTTTAAAAGTTACTTGGAGTACGAAGGAAAGGACTATAAACATATTTACTAAAAGTGAAAATCATCTCAAACTTTATTGTTACATAACCTGAATATTACACTTTATAGAAAAAAAAAGTAAACAGTACGAAATATTTATCTATTTACTATTTAACACAACACATAATTCATTATGTATATTTACTGAAAATATTAACAATTGCAGTTAACAACTTATAAATAATGAGACCAAAACAGTAAAGAAATTAGATAATGTCTTTCAAATTAATTAATTCTATTTGTCCAATTATTTAATTATTAACAGATTTGTATTTAAGCCTATTCACTTTGTTTCAAATAAACAGCTAATATCTATCATTTTCATATAATATGCAATCCAAGGTTTAATACACTTAACTATACTTAACTAGTGAAGTGAATTCACCTCACCTTACTAATATGAAAATTATTATTATTATTATTATTATTATTATTATTATTATTATTATAAAGATTACTTACAAAATTTGAATAATAAAATTGAGATACCAAAAGAAAGTAACATAAATGGGCTATAAAATTAACTGCAACAATTGTAATGATTACTTCAAAAACGATAAAATAAGAACAAACACATATAGCATAATACAAAGATAGATTCTAGCTGGTACACCTTCGCTATGGAAATTCTCTAAACAAACAACTGGAAACCAAAGCAACTTACATAGACCGATAGCGATCGTTCAGTGACTGAATCTAAGAAGTGGATTCAAAAATAGCTTAGCTATTAAAAAAAGCAAATAATTCAACTGAAATCTACAAAATTTTGGGGTCAATACTCTTTCAATAAGTGCAAAAACTAAGCTTAAAAAACCTGAATACTACGAAAGTTTTAAAATCTACACTTAAAGTCGAGTCAGTTATGAGAAATTGAATCTATATCAATGAATTACAATTGGGAGGTAAAAATAACGGCTTCACAATGAGTGATGAAGTTGGACATGTGAACATAATAGATGAGTTCCAGATGATTGGTGGAGTATATTTAACACTATTAGCAGGTTATTACGCAGTGTTAACTATTTTTCCATATCTACTAGCAATCACTCAGCAAAAATTAACCTTATATATTTGTTACCATTTATCAGCAATATAACGCATTTTTATAATTGAGTCAAAAAGGATTTATTAATAAAGACTCTGAATGTGATGCTAAATTAAATAGTGGAACATCAAAGTAAAAGGATTTTCATTAAAAGTCCAATAACCTTGATTCTATGTTGATCACCTGCAAACATCTAATATCAAAATGAAAGACCGAAAATAATAAAAATTATTAAAACAATCACAACTTACCACCTTCAATTACAATCGCCTCACCACTTGGTCCAAAACCACCAGCAATACTAAGTGGACGAGTTTGTTCACCTGACGAATTACGCCATCTTAACTGTGCACTATTGAAACTAGCATTTGAATCCAATAATAAACCTGATGGTAGTCTTGGTAACATAATTGTTTTGGACGAAGTGGTATTACGATTAATTGCGGCCAAAGCGATATTTGGATGATGTTGAGGATGCGGATGAATAAAAGCATGAACAGAGGAAGTACATGTTGAAGAAGAACCTTGATATGGAATCATATTTAAGCTACTATTGGAACCATGTGATGATGGTATGAATGTGGCAGGATACCGATCTTTAATTAATAATTCATTAGTCATATCTACTATAGGAGGTAATATAATTGGTGCATTTAATGTGAATGCTTCTAAAAGAGTAGGATGTAATGCTGTTTTTAGATTCCCTTCAGTAGAGCCAATTTGTGTGGTACTAGGTATATTGTTATTATCTGAAAAACTACAACTAATGAATGATGAAAACCGTAGATCACAACCACTCCAATCACGCTGAAACATGATATTAAAGAAAAAGAACAATGAAAGATAAATTACCACCATTAAAAAGAGGTTAATAAAATATACGCCCTACAAAAAAATAAATACATGATCTAGAAAAACGTCATCCATTCAAAAACACATAAGAGACTCAATTACAGATAATCAAAGGTCTTGATTTATACACCTTCAAATATAAGTTGTTGTATTAAACCAATTAATTGTCGCATTGTGAACAAAGAATCGAGTTAGATAACAAATATATACAAGTAAGTAAAATCAAAACTAACATGAAAATAACGAATTTCAAAAAGTAAATAAAAGAAAACAAATATTGAACCTGAACTGAGATTGATATGAATTGTACAAAATTTACAAGTTGAACAAAATAACATACACAAGATTAAACAAATTATTGAGATAATACAGACACCACTACTACGTTCAAATAATCGTTCTTCATAACTTTTATATGACTGTAAAAGTTTATTTATAAAGTTGAAAAGCAACCTCAAATCAACAAGTAGATAGTAGTTAGTAAAGAGATCCTGGCAACTAAGATAGGTATATTTTGGATATTCAAAATGTACCAAATACATATGAACACCAATGGTAGATATCTAAGACACAGATAACATTGGGAACTAGAAATAATGAAAATATAGAATTAATTAAAATGGTTACACTGTAGTATAACGCAAGAAATTGATCATCACAGTAAATGAAATGCACAAGCATATTGCATATGCAGACTGATATGTGGTAGGGAAAGTAAAATATGATTGGTCGTTGAGCGTGGACAAAATAGAAACAGTCAACGACTATAAAATATGTGATTTCCTTTCACTGATTTCTGCTCTGGTCTGAGTGTGACTACTTGTAATTGTACTGAATAATCTGGTTCTCTATTATGGATCGTGAATCATGGTTCTGGTACACAGTGATTAGTCTCACTATCGTAATATGAGTGAGAGTAAAAAATATTTTAAGCATCTGTTACATCACAAACAATCTGAAGAAAAGAAATCACAGTTACAAAGGAGACATGTATTAATGACTATAAGACAAACACTAATATTTCAGCCCGTAAATAGCTATTCCACTTGCAAGTACTTTACGTGATGAGAAATTAGATCATCTTTAAAAAATCACTTGAAATAAATCAAATTCATAGTGAAGCAAAATCAAATGTGAATAACATGGATTAAAAGCTCTTTGGGGAGAGACCATAATCTATAGAAGAGCGAATCAGACTAAAGATAGTAGGTTTAGGATTCTAGCGCCAGATTCATCAATTCATGTGATTAAATGGCATTTTGGCATTATAGCTGATGTCAGCTCGTGATGAAAACCACAACTCTAATTCGTAACCCTAACGTCCAACAGTTAATCCCAATCCTAATTCCTCACACAAATTCGTAACCCTCAATTAGCCTTAGTAAGTAGGTGGACATTCTCAGGGTCCTTTAAGCATTACTAGGTCATAAATAAATAATACCCTCACTAAAATGTTTGATATTTTAGCATATCGGTAAGTAGTAGTAGTAGTAGTAGTAGTAGTAGTAGTAGTAGTAGTAGTAGTAGTAGTAGTAGTAGTAGTAGTAGTAGTAGTAGTAGTAAAAGTAAGGTAGGTAATTATAGTCATCATCTGAATTCGATTAATTTCAAAATGATAATAATATTTAGACACTGTTAACCTACAGTATTATACGAAATAGGTGAGATAAAAGATATATTCAAAGAATAACTTACAAAACCGAAGTTAAATCTCCCTATTTCTTGACACCATTGTTATTTTTAAAGTGTAAATAACTGTATACATTTCTTTAATGTGATTATGAAATGAAATGGAAGGTTATAACAGTAACTATGTATTAATTCCTGGCATTGATTAACCGATTTCATAATTAAATGTAAATGATCATCACCATCATTTAGCCACGCATTAAAACTAGAAGATCACTAGGCAAGTAGAAACACTTTGATACCTAATAGATTTAAGATGAGAGCAGCATAAATTGATTATTTAAAGATTATGAACAATCTATCATAGTTTTCAATCTTGTATTTTTATAAGTTCAAGTGAGAAAGTTTGTCTGATTCAAGAGAATCACATTACAATAGCAACTAAACCTAAACATGAAATCCAATGATCCTGATTATCAGCTTTAGTATTAAAATTAGTAAAGACAAACGAATGTATAATGAGGTCAGATTTCAAGTTACAATACATTTGATTTTGATATGTATATATATATAAACGGTTCCGAGTTATTTAAGTTTTAATTTATAAAAACAAATGAATAACAATAGACAGTCGTCATAAGGAGCGTTAAATTTCTAAAATAAAATGTCTTTCTAGTATTTAAAATATACGACTAACAAATAAAGCAATTGCTAATGAAAAATAACTATAAAAGAACCGCTGACTAGCTTGAGTCTCATTGGTCAGTATAATATTTCGTCTTTTTTTCAGTTAATTGTGATTCTAATGACCTTGAGTAGGCTGCTGAATAAACATATATCTACATACAAATGTGAATGGTAAAACCTTCAATGTAAAGTTGTCTTCTTATCAATAATAACTGACCTACATGACACTGCTACTGATTAATATGGTAGGTTGAGTATACTATGTGACCACCACGTGACCTATTATCAGAACTATAGCTTTTTATCATCGATCTGAAAAAAAGTGTACACATTACATAAATACATGTTCTGAAAAACAGCATGAATCTCTGATAAATTGTGATTTACTCTTACCAGAAATTTTTTTATATAAACAAAATGAAATGGATTATCTGGTAATGAATTTGTTTATCAATATGTAAAACGTCAACTGTTTAATTAAATAACAACACAATAATTCAAAAAAACATCAGAGATCAAACACTTGTAATTATCACAGGTAACACAGTTTCAACATTTTCAAGTTATATATTGAACGAATGAAATTAATAATGATCATGAAATGTAAGAGAGTAATAATATCATTTGTTTTATATATACATTTTATTTTCGATAAAAGAAAAGATTTACGATGTTACATGGTCATATTTTAACTAGTTAGAAAAGCAGCTAATTTGATATGTGATATTTGACGTTCGACAAAAAGAAAATGATTATTATGTTTTAATTAATGATCACAGACTACACACCTTTTCGCAAATCAGCATGATATTAACGTTTTATCAGACTATTTTAAACAAATAGACAATATGCAAGCAGAGTACGATCTGAAGTAAATAACATATTGGTGAAAAGTGTTACAAGTTATAAAAGCATAGAGAGATATAAAAACCAGTAAGAAAGGAAACATGAATGAAGAAAAAAGTGAAATAAATAAGATGGAAAGCGAAAAAAAAGATATAGAATGAAACACTTTAGGATCTGAATATACAAATAATAAGATTCGATTAGCAATAATCCAACAGACATTGAAGATATTTTGAAAACTTACAGAGATTTTTCTAGCTACAGTTTTATATTTGATAGATTAACCGTTAGTTAGAACTCATCCATAATTTGATTCTTTTTTCGAATATGAATTATTTAAAAATAAAATGTAGGAACCTTTAAGTTACTGCTTTTTAAAGAGATATGCTTATCACTAAGGTGTCTTTAGTATCTTTAACTATTCTACTTCAAAAAGCTCCAGCACTAGTGCAAGTATGATTACCAAGGTTTGAGTTGATAATTGCAAATAAGATGAGCATTGGGTAGATTGTTAATAAGAAAAATAATGATACATTTATAATATCCTGAGTAGAAAAATCAAAATTTTCTGTCGTTTCGTAACTCAGTGCAAGCCACTTTCCTCAGAGAATAAATAAATAACTAAATTAAACTAAACCAAGCTTTTTAGAGCATTAATGGTTTCCTTAACGGGAAAACTTTTTAATTAAGCTTAAAACAGAAAGTACAAGTCATCAGTTCATGTTAAGGTGTATAATAAATCAGTTGGTATTTAGTTACTACGTATTATAAGTGGTTCGCTTAATTTATTTATATCCTTAGTATCCAATCAATAACACATCCTTATTTAGTATAGTATGCAACAAATCAACATTTAACTTTATTCACTCTAGAGGATCATAACTAAATATCCGCCAGAATGTTTATACGCCTTTTGGTAAACTTTTCAGTATGAAATGCTCTCATAATAGCAATATTACTGGTCAATGAAATAAAAGATTCAAGGAAATATTTAGCTGTAAATAAACTGAGTAATTAACTAAGTAAATCCATTTTAAACCTAACGAAAGACTTACTACATTTAAAAATAGCACAGATAATTACAACTAATGGGAGGTTGTAAAAAAAGTAATACGAAAATTGACTATTTTTTGGTGAATTGGTTTGAGAAATTTCTGATCAAGTAATCATTAAAACAATTTTTTGCAATCTTTTTTTAAAGTTAGTTTACATTATAACTTGTCTTTTGGTTGATTAATTTCGCCATTCTTACCTTTCATCAACTACAGTTAATTAATTATAAATTTACTACTCAAGCTTTGTATTAGAAATATTCAAGTTATGTACTTCTCATTATCTTTGAATTGTGATACGTTGTGAACTTGTGTGTTATTAATATAACTACATACGGTATAAAAATACATAAATATACTGCAAATCACACAGTTAGGTCTCTAGTGTTTTGAACGGTTTAAGAATGACGGAATTCGTGTGGCCTAAGGGCCATATGACGAACGAAATATGTTTATAGATTTGTCGCTAGAGGCATAGGAAAGGATACAACAGAAACCTAGCAGGTAGAAAAACTAATATTTTAAATAAGAAAGAAACATTAAGAAGAATGTGAAAAAAAAGGTTTCATACTGTTGAAAGTTGAGTACGTAATAAATTTATATGCTCCCTTTTGGCAGTCACCGACAGCTCTTCGTAAAAATTAAATTACACAACTACTAATAGCTACCATATCGAACAGAATAATAAGTTTAAAACTTATAGTTTCTTACACAACTACACGATAAATGGTCAACAATGTCTGATTTATATTCACCTAACAGTACGCATGTTTATGGTGAAAAGATAACATTGTGAGTGCACAAATGGTCATTAATCAAATTTTATGTGAAAATTAGTCTCCATCCATTGCAGTGGGTTGTTCTGAGTTATTCCTGATTCATTGAAACTTTATCACAGTTAATAGTATGAGTGTATGTGGTTTATTTGAAAAGCACATTTTGTATTTATCCTATTGAAACATAACACTTTACATTTTAAACAAAGGCTTGAATAACTCGCTTTATAGTACGAAGACTGAATTTATGTTGTGATGAAAATTTTCAATCTTCTGCAATGCAGTAAATTTTTTACATTAAACGAACAAGTAAGCATAATTTTGGAAAAAAACAACTGCTTACTTGTTTTGAATAAGTGTGAAAAGTAAACTGTGGACCCATCCAAACACGACGTAAAGGTCCTAAATGTGTAGTTATTTCAACTTGACTATACCAGTAAGAAGCAACATCTTCAGCAGTCCATCCAGCAGGAGTGACAACATTATCATCTGTATCATCATCATTCTTGTCTTTATTACTATCATAATTATTATCGTCGATGTTTGTTTTTACTTCCAACAATCCAGATTTCATTTGACTGCTATTAGTTGGGGGTAAACTGGATTTCAACGTTGATATGATCTTTTCGTAATTTGTAGAGGTGGACGACAGATTTTTATCAGATTCTAATGCAAATTCACTTCGACCATCCACTATAGAAATGTGATTTGAGAAAGAACAAACATTTTGCATTGCATATCCGGATAGTAAATATATGTGCATATAATCATATATATTCACCGACAATACAATTAACTAATGTAAAATTTAATATAAGTTTAAATGGCAAAATATAGAAAAAATTTCCATTTGTAAATCAACTTCAACTTCATGTTTTTGGACTAAAAGAATAATCGCTTGGTATTGCTCTGCTTGTATCTTCCCATTAAGCTTTTAAGACTGCAATTGATGAGTCTGTTATTGACATATGTGCATCCTGTGCGTATGCCTCGATATTGCCTTAATTCACAAGGTTTTATAAGCAAAGATGGATAGTGGCTAGCAGTGGAATCCAGGACGCGCGTTTCTTCCTATTTGGGATTCATCAGCTGGATATACCTGCATCTCAGAGTGAACATCAACTCTGAGATGCAGGTATATCCAGCTGATGAATCCCAAATAGGAAGAAACGCGCGTCCTGGATTCCACTGCTAGCCACTATCCATCTTTTCTTAAAAGAATAATCTATGGGTTTTTTATAATGTTTATCAAAAATTGATATCCACTGAGGAATAAAAATGAACATGTGAAACGTGATAACACCAAATAACTAATTATAAATCCAATAGATTCAAGGATAATATCTTCTCAAAATCCTCTTATCAAACTACTGTAACAAAGCTTTAGATTTGAAAAAGTTAAAAATCTAAATTTACCACTAAACATAACTGTTTAATTAATATAAAGAACTTAGTATGATAAAAGAAGCTTCAGAAAACAAGCTAAACCATTGGATGATAATAAGTACAGTGGTTTTGAGAAATATGAGGTAGTTTTAATTTAATTAGGAAAACCGATGAAATCTAAGGAAATTAGACCTATATAGAAATAAGTATATAATGAAAAAGACCACATTCCACACTTTCAATATTATAAAGTAATAATCCAATTTAGGAGATAATTATCGAAACAAAGTACATATAGACCTATTAAGTGATAGCTAAGAAAAATGACAAGAATCTATGAAAGTAGATCTCCGCGTTGGTTAGCAGTCATTCATCAGCATACTTTATAACCTTGAAGGAATTGATACTTCCCAACCATGTGTTACCGTTAAATATCATCAAGGACTTTCAGAAAAACACATAATTAGGCTAGTTGGTAGTTAATTAAGTAGTAAGAAATATCAATTTATTATTCTGTATCCAGTGATGAATTAGTTCTGAAATCGTCAAGGGTGAAAAATATGTAACAAACATTCTAAGGTTTGTCCTTATTTACGAGCTAGATCAAAACATATTCACACTCCCTAAAAAGTCATGTTTGGAAACTTATTTAATATTGTTGTTAGACAAATACTCAGTTCGTAAAGCACATGAGATAGATTTAAATTATGGATCATATACTTCATACAAAGGTTAACAATATATAGTTTTTACAGTATATACAATCTGGAAATATTAAATAATCTACTAAATACTTCGGATAAACGAGTGACAATTCAGTACACAAATAAATCACAGATCTAAGTAAGATACGATGCAGTAACCTGTTAACAGTAAGGATCATTTAATCTTAATAAACAGAAATATATCATACTAAATTGGAAAACATATTAAATATCAATTAATTTAATTAATAAATCTGCTTAAAATTTAGTATTACTCTTTAAATTAGAAGCATAGTCCGATTTAAACGTATTTGTTTTACATCTTGCTTGAATTGTGGACGAGGCTAAAATAAGTGGATGCTGTCTAGGAAATGGAGGCAGGTACACAGCATCTGTATGTAAATTCCATTCGCCAACAGATACACAATCTAGACGAATCGAACCATCCTACAAATGAAGGGGAAAATATTAGGACATAATAGATAGAAACAATCTTATGCACAAAAATAAATTAAAAAGTATTTGAAATAGATGCTGTTTTACGTAAATTTTAAATAAGTACGGAAACAATATGAGTTTATTTCGTTATGATGGAAGTAGTAACACAAGTATAATCTCAATCACAATAAACTGAAAATCAAATAAGGTCAGTATAAGCACTTCGATTAACGAGTTTTTCTTAACTAAAAACAAAAGGTAACTATATATTGATAATAGATTAAGTTTATTTGCTTGTGATCTTTACTAGTTCACAAACCAACTTCGGAATCGTAGATATTCGTGATATATTTTCAAAGGTCTCTTTTAGGACATATTATGAAAGAAAAATGTGTTTTCACTATGAAGCATTATAGTGTTTGAGGTAAAATTCAATCACAGAATTCACAAGAGTATAGCAACACAACACATCAGAAACAATCGAAGCCCGAAAATCGAAAAAAAATGATATCTAATGAGAATAAAACTAGTAATATTTTCAGATCTAACTTGCTTTATGACGTGGTCTGGAAACCCGAATCTTAGTGGCTAAGACAGGATTTAAGCCCCCAAGTGCACGCATTATAAGTTCAGTGAGTAAATTAGCAAGTCATGATTATATATGCATACAGTTAATGCCATTTTCGGCCAGAGATAAATATATGCACAAATATGTGTTTAATTTCAAACATTAAGGAATTTTTATTACAAAACGTTTGCTATGTTACCACGAGCCTAAATGACTTAACAGTGAATCGTACTGTCTATAATTTAGAAAAAAATTAGGATTATTATTACAATACAACGATCCCATGCATTGTTATGAATTGGGATGAATGTAGTAAGTTAGCTGATCAAATGTAAGCAAGTGGGAAAATGCTTGAACTTTAAAACCGATTAATGTTACAAAGAATCAAAAGAATCATTTATAGCATTTCTGTTTTTAAGAAATCAAAGATACTGATTGAAATAATGTAATGATAGTTGGAGAACTACATAGCAACAAAGACATTTTTTAATGGACTTAGTCACTTGGAGGAATGGAGTAAATTAAGCTCCAACAGATGATTTATCAAATTATTGTTTAACTTCAGTCATCAAATCGAACGTTTATTTACAAATAGATAAATATACCGAAACATATTTAAGAAGTGAATAATTAGTTCAGAGTGAATAATTTACATTGAAAATAAAATCAGACAGAGGAAAAAGACATCTCGATAAGAATTAACTAATATTAAATATCCTATTATAAGTAGTAAATAAATAAGCTGTTACGTTACTCTATCAACTCTTAGTTACGATTATTAGATTGCCTTAATCTCACGCTCATGTTATTCCTGATTGTTGTCAATGGCTCTCATTATTAAATGTATGTGCATTCTACGTGCTCACTGAGCCGTTAGCGAACTTTTTCTTTTATAATTTTTTTTCCAGATAACCTCACATATCTGCAGGCTAAACGCAAACCTACGAAAAGCTGAACGTAACAGTTAAACGAATAAATAAAATTTTTATACCTGATATAATTTCCCACCGACTGTAGCTGTATCATCTGCACTAACACATAAATCGTACTCTATTAAGCGAAGGTCGGCTGTCAGAATAAATAATGCATCTACAGCACGAGACTTTCCGACTAAAAAAAAAGAAAATTATTTTTGGATACAGTATGTTTATAAAGAAATAGATATATCTAGGAGAAAAAAGCTCTATGAACTTGAGCTGGTGAATTCTTAAAAGTGATTTTAAGACTATTTTACATGCTTTTGTATTGAAGAGACTTTTGACGAAATAACAGATTTATGATGATTTTATGGGGTTATATATGAAAGAGCCACAAAATAACAAGTTTCTCCCGATAGATGTGTAGTACATAACATAGGTGTTATGCTTACAGAAGAGGAACCTTTCGAAAACCAACTCAGAATGTGTAAAGGCTTCTATAACGTAAAGCAAATAATCGAGAAAGCAAGTGAATCATCATAGTGAATTTGGAGTACAGTTCGCCAAAATCACACGACAAAACACCTATTAAGATTGTCAGATAGATGTGGTAAGAAATCATTCTGTGATGAGTTACTTTGGATATTTATTTATACTTATCAGTCGTAACCCTAAACATCAATAGGAAGATTCAAACAACCAATATAAGTGAATTAAAACTTCACCTCACTGTTCAAACCAGTGGCTATTTAGACTCAGTAGCTAAATGTATAATGAGATTAAATTTGAAGCGAACGTCATTGGGCTCTAGTGTCGGAGTGAACATCAAAACGCATATTCTATATTTCATGGCTAGCCACTATCCATCTTTGTTTGTAATGCCTATGAATTAAAGCAATACCGATACAATCCACACAGAGTGAAGATATACCTATAAGAGACTGACTAATTGCAAGCCTAAATATCAATGGGAAAACCCAAACAAACAAAAATATATATTTAGGGGATCATCATACAGTCCTAAGTCTACTACATCCTTCATAGTTCGTCAATTACAAACAAAAATTACTCGGCGTTGAAACTACGAATGGTGACCTCGTATTTTACTTATAAAGTGACATGGACTAAAAATATTATTAATGAAAGCTATGTGTGATCAAACATCAAGCTTCTAATGTTTAATGTGATATATCGATCGTACAGGAATGCGATTGATTGACTTGATGATAATAGTGTACTCAAGACTACAAAAAAAACCAAAGCCAGACTTGTCTCCCTTTCTGGTTCTCTAACTTACGCGGTCAGTGTTCGACAAATACTTACTTCATACCACCTCAAATTATATATGCCTGTTTAAGTGTATGTGATAAAGCGGAAAAATCGGCGATAAAACAAAAAAAGGTCACTTGAGATGCTTTAAAGAGATATCGTAGTGGAAACTTTCTGTCAGAGATGCAGCTACAAAATATTAAATTGGATGAAGACACCAAAAACATATGGCTTTCAAACTGTCAAAACAAATAGTCAAGTTCTTTTGATTTGCAAAATCGATTGCTTTTAAGTTATATGCCAACTATCTACCTAGTGATTTAACCACATGAGATAACAATATTCTTTTCACAACACTCATAACTATATTTCTGATTACTACAGATAGCTATAATTTGATTAGGCCTTGCAGTCAACTGGGACAAAACCGTATAAAACCTTTACTATTTTACTTAGCTACTTACATACGTTTTCAGTAATAAAACTTGAAATTCTTCAAAGAATTGGTAAAGACATGGGTCATCAATCGAGGTTGTGAATTTGCTATTATTAAAACTAATTTAGTATTTCCATAAATTGTAATTAGTTAGAAACAAGTTTCATTCTTAAACATCACTTCCAACACTTGTACCACATAGACCTATTACACATTTAAACACGACTCTCCACCAATTTACACTATTTACAAACATGTAACAATAGTTTAGTAAGTCTAAAGAAAATTAGAATTTCACTTATTTTAACATTCAACAAGTTATCTGAAAAGATATTGTAATGAAGATGTTTTACTTCTCCCTGATTAAATAACAACTATTTCCTCCACACTGAGTATCGCTGAGATAAATTAACTGAAGATTCAACGAGAACTAATGATCTCTAGTTACTAATTCATTAATAAGACAGTAACTCAACTATAACATTGGATGTGGATTATGTTACGATATTGTAAACTAATATAAGCAACTAAAAACCGACCAAAGGTATCATAATCAAAAGGTCATAGGTTCAATTTCTTATAATGCAGTAGTCGTAGACTGTTGAGTAATGTCAAGTGAGGATGATATACGAAAGACTTCTGACAAAAAATCATAGCTTCATAATGTCAATAATTATGTAGTAGTGTTTAACTAGTTAGATTAACAGCCAGTAATTACTGTTTTCTTTTTAAATCCTTGACTCCCTTTTTCCAGTACTTGACAGCTTATTTCCATACTACTAGTACATGTGGTCCAAAAGACAATTTGAAGCCTTGAGTATCTACTTTAGTATTTTTAATTCTTTTAAATGACAATTGCTATTATGGTGATGTAGAATGCAAAACTATAATTGACATTAACAATTACTAAGTTTATTTATTTATTTATTTGAACATATAAATATTGATAAAAAAGCACCAACTATATATGCGCCACACAAAACAATGATAATTTGAAGAGAAAGGAGAAAAAAGAGAGAACAATAATGGGGGAAACGGAAAGGTACAATCAGAAATCTTTCAGTTAAGGAAGAGGCAACTACTTTTTATGAAGAAAGTAAAAGAATGTTACAGCAAGATCGCCATTGGCTTCTATTCTGAGATATATCTGATAACGCCTCTAGCCACTGTGTTGCAACATGTCATATACTGACCACCTCTCCGCTTTTTCCAACCTGTCCCAGAGTCGGCAAATAATGCACGACGAGGAATTCTCTGGGAACGTGACTAAGCCACCGAAGTCGATGTTTCAAGATGGTGACACCAATTGCATTATCGTCTCTGTGCCCAAACACACGATGCCGAACCTCTGCATTACTAACATGGTGTTGCCACTGAATGTCAGCAATCCTTCGGAGACAACGACGATCGAACACAGAGAGTCGTCTAACATCCTCAACTCGGAGAGGCCAGGTTTCACAAGCATAAAGCAAAACTGCTCTCACCGACGCGTCGTAGATCCGACCTTTTACAGCCAGACTAACATCACAAAGGTGCCAAAGATGGCCCAGATTGGCATAAGCCGCTCTGGCTTTCACTATACGTGCATTGATCTCATCACTCACACCACCACCAGCACTTATGCAGCTACCTAGATACACGAACTTCTCGACTACTTCTATCTGCTCACCATCTAGAGTGAGTAAAGGATTAGAATCCTGCCAATCTTGTAGAAGTACTTTGCACTTCGAGGGTGCAAAGCACATACCATACTTACGGACACTGATTGCCAACTGATTAAGTGCGGATTGCATGGCTTGGGCATTATCGCACAGTAAGACAATATCGCCCGCATACTCAAGGTCGAGAAGTCTTTCTCCAGGTAGCAGATCCACACTGCCATTACTTACATCCATCAGAGCTGTTTCCAGAACGTCATTGATGGTAAAGTTGAGGAAGAATGATGAGATTGGGCAACCCTGTCTAACCCCACTGCTTGAATGGAACAATGGAGAAAAGTGGTTGTATGCCCTCACTCTGCCTGAGGTGTTTGTGTATAATGCTTTCAGGATGTTAATAAACAATTACTAAGTACTGAAACATGTCCAAATGATGATACAGTAAGTAATCTTCGTCTTTATTCTGATTTAGAGTGTGTTTATTCAGGTGAAACTAACAATGTTTAACTTAAATCTTCCCACGAATTGAGTATGTGCTCAAAGCCTTTCAAGATATTAAAAGTAGCATATTTTACTCATTACATCACTTATATTGATTTAGGTACCACCGAATGCATTTAACAAAACATGTACTTTCATTTGGTATGAATTTGAAAAAAAAAATATGTGCAGACTAAAGAACACAATATAATGGAAATAACTAATTTACACAAACAAATCCTATGAACATGTTAAAGTATGAAAAGTTCTTGTGTCTTACCATACGGGTCGCTACGATAGTCTGAAGATACATTATTTAGACGAAGTTGATTAGGAAGGAAACATACAGGAGGTCCAAAACGTGCAGCTCTAACACTATTACTTGTTGGACTAGACATATCTTGATCCAAATTTTGAAGTGATTGCCCACTTCTGTGACGCCGAGTATGCTTGCGTGAATGAAAAGAAGAACGAGATGCTGTACTAACTGGCAACTGTGTATAAGTGCAAACTTCAGGGCAGTGGACATGATTAGGATCAGAATAACATGATTTAACAGATGATAAGTGACGATTAACGATTACCGCATTTATATTTTTCATAGGTGTTACAGCTTCAAAAGCACTACTGGCGGCGCCTCGAGCAATAGACGTCACACTGCTACCACTAGATGGTTTCAATCTTGCTTCAGCTTTAACTCGACAAGGTTCAGGATAGGGAGGCAACCGAGAATTAGTAGTGTTATACAACGCGTTCGGTGGACAAGCACATAGTCCTTCACTATTTAGAAACAACATAGTAGGTTGTTCAGAAACATGAAGACTACTGGATGATTCTGTAGAAAATGGATTTGAATGCGTGAAAAAGAGTGGTGCATCAGACAATGCTGAATCATCAGCAAGAATCGACGAGGAATTGGAACTCCCCTTATCTAAACAAAGAAAAAATTTAAATTTGGGTACATTTAAGAGATAGTATGGAGAATAGTTTTAGAGAGAAGTAATCACTGGTAATCCATAAAATGTAATCGATAACAAATGACACTAGACAACAAGCATCTACTATTATTTCAGTGAAGTTTACTTTTCCAATACCGTAGAATAGTATCATGTAAAATGTAAGGAGGAAGTAGTAGGTCTTATCACCGTATATATATATATATATATATATATATATATATATATATATATAATCTAATTTTTTCAATCTTTTCAAATTTTGAAAACACAAAATCACTAGAAACAAAAGTCTCAATCAAAAAGAATAAATTAATTATGACCCTTAGCCTACCTGCATCAACGTAAAAGTACAAACTGTGATGGAGCTTAATGCACTTATTGACGGAGTAACGTCATAAATGGATTACTAACAACAGTTTTAGAAATCATATGATTCGACAAAAAAATAATCCTCTCTTTTGAATGCGTATAAAACTTACATGCAATACGACATAGATATAACTTTGAAACAAATAAGTCTGCAGTACTCTCGTATTCCATATATAATAACAATTAAGGTTAATCAATTTAACTTGTAGCTACCCGTTGACCAAACACAACCTAGTGAATTAGGTAATGATTGTAAAAGAAGTTAATTGAATGGAATTCTAAATCATATCTTATAATTCATTGAAAACATGAACCTATCCATGTTAGACTACCATTGAAAACCTGGAAACACTGGGAAGCCTTTTTGTCCTAGTATGGGACTCCTCGGAAGTGTGCATCTACGACCCGACACACGAACATTGAGCTGAGGATCTTCAGTCTCGTACGCAAACACTCAAACTTTGAACCACTGAGCTGGTATACAACATTGTTAATTTCTTCAATCAACCTACTATATGTCACGACCATTTTCCATTGCCTTCAGTGGGCAACTGCCTCACACTTAACGCAGTTTAGCTCCATCATTCATTTCTCGAGTTCGTGAAAGACTAGAGGTCTTGAGCTCGACTCACTCGTACGAAGATTTGGATGCATACTGCTGAAAAGTCCCACAGTAAAACGAAACGGCCGTCCAGTGCTTCCAGGTTTTAGATGGTAGTCTTGCTTACATCGGTTCACGATTTTAATCAAATTCATCTATCTCCACAACCCTATACTGTCATATCTTATGATTGCATACTAAGTTATTTGTATCGAATGGAAACAGATGGTCCAATGAAATTACTTTTCAATCATCCTTTCAGTTCCGTAGTTATAAAACATCATGCATATAAGACTATTTGAACACATGAAAATATGGGAAGGAATGTACATGATATTCTGCATACAACAATGCGTGTAAGTGAAGTTTCCTTAGAAATTATTAACGCACTGGACGTAAGTGTCACTGACTAACTGATCAGTCTCGGATACATTCCTTTGTAATTGATTCGCTTTATAATCTTTGTTATCTTCATATGGACCCTAATTTCTAATCATATAAACAACTGACCCTGATATGATTGGAAAAATAACTATTGATTGAAGTACGACTGACATACACAACTGATTTCATCTAGTTTCCTATGTCGTTCAGCCATAATTTAAGAGCCAATTACATAACTTAGCAAGATAGTTACATTTATTGGTAATAATAGTTCAATCTCACGACATAGTAAATTGTGCTTAGAAATTTAGTTACCGATTAATTAGTGTCCAGTGCTAGTCTGACTACTGGAGTAAATAAAACGTACAAAGGTTGTTGTGTTCATATTTGCTTTTGATTTATTTTTGGTGTAAAACAAATTCTCACTTAACGCCATCGTTATCGTCATTACGCTGTGTGATTCAGTTTCATGAAGTAAGTACCAACTTTCCGTGGATATATCAGACCTCTATCTTGAAGACCGATACGTTGAATCTATTTCAACATATATACTGATAGCAGATTGAATTAAAAGATAGAATTCTAGGAATTCACCCTAATCCACAAACTGGATCTTTATCAAATAGAAGTTGTGTACTTTGGTTGTCAACAAACCTTTACGGATGTGTATGTAAATGTTTAACGTGTACTTATTCCAAAGTAGTATATCTCAAAGTTGTTGTAATGCTCAACTTACCTTCTTTCGGTCATTCAATGTTTCGATTTGCATGATATAAGGTGAAGCAATTATACTGATTTATGAACAATAGTAAATCTAAAAAGTTTAGAAATCCTACTGTTAATTTTAAGATGTTTCTGAATGATACAATAATGATTCACCTTTCGAGTTCTTAGAATTATTTCGCGATGGTAGATCGATTTGATAGATATCTGTTCATGATGTTGTGAAGGCAGTCATTATTCTGGAAAACAGATAAGGGATAGTTTATTACACTTCCCCATAAGCTGCAATTAATATGTCAAGTTACAGATCTCCGAAATTGTGCTTGTATATAACTGTTCTTTTATGGTGTCATGCTGCTACTGTTGTAATGGAGTGAAGGATTCGTGAAGGTTTAGCTATTTTATTTATATTTTTCTTGTTGACCGAAACAATAGAAAACTATATTCATATTTAATGAGGATGCTGTTGATAAGCTAGCGAGTAATTACTAGTTTGCTCGCTACACCATGTACCCAAAATTGTCGGTTTGACTATTGGAAAAAGTGTAGATTTTCGTTTATACAAAAATACTTCTAGCAATTAACCTAGAATAGACTATTCTCTATGTGACAACTGAAGTAGATACATATCAACATGGTATGAATTTACTAGCTCTAACTAAACTTTAATATTGTGTATGTTATGGAAGTGATTTATCATTGCTAAACAGTTGAAATAGTGACCTTGATACGTTTTAATCCAATTGAATCAAAAAGAACCACGCTACTGAAGAATATCACTACTTCAATATTGTAAGTAATTCCACTTGTAGCTCTTCTAGAGCTACTGCCGGTCCCAAGCCCGGGTAAAAGAGGAGGGTTGGGCATGGGGTCGGCAACAACATTTTGTACAAAACAACCTTGCTGAAAAAACGCTAACTAGAATAAAAAATTCAAACCATTTAAACTCTGTCCTCCGAGTTAAAGAAAGAATTATGGCGCCTAATGATTAAAGCCGAGATTCTTCAAAAGTCACGAGGCCGATGCCCCTTCTAAAAACCAGAATTGCCCAGGATATAGTTCAATGGGGAATGCTGGTGAGATACCAATGCTCCTCCATGAGGGGTAACAGGCGTAAGTAAGTAAGTAAATAATATCGTGTGGATAGACGTTTTTGGACATTTTTAAAAAGATGTTGAAGTAATAGAGTGATTGCAGGATTTAGTTATACAAACTATTTTTCTGTATACTTCACTAGATAACCCTTATGCTGGCTTCTCCAAGAATGATAAAGCTGATCCTACCGAGAAATCTGATAACACCAACAAAAGATCCTACCGTTGAGATATTCAGGTCATGAATGATCCCTTGTAAAACTGGATTAAAAACACTAATCTGTCACTGAATAGCAATTAGTAGTAAAAGGTTCCAGAGCTGACAGAAGTCAATCGATCACATTTGCAACGTTATCCAATTAGGCTCAATGATTTGTTTATCTTAATTATCTGCAAAATATTAGACAATTCATTCATTAATAGAACTGGATATTTTACAGAACTCTGAATAAAAAAGATAAGAGATAAGTAAGTAATTCCAAATATCAATTCCAAAAATACTAATTATTTCAAGATTCCAATAAAGTTTTTGAACGATTTCAAAACCATATGGTTAACTATTCAAACATAGATAACTTTTTTTCGACGTGATTTTATTCATCTTAAGAACAACTGTACAAACAAATAAATTATAAAGCCAAAAATCGAAAAGCTGCCTATGTAGGGAAATATGACGGTAAATTTAACAAATTAATTAAGCTTAAGGTATCATATACTGGTGAGGTTGAAGAGGTAAAAGTGGACAGATAGTTACATACTTTAAACTCTCAAATTTCGCATAAAACCATCCATAGAAAAATGCAAAGGAAGGTTGTTTATAAAAATGGTTACATAGGACTTACTAATACAACAGTCAGGAGTTTCTTTGAGAGGAGTCATAAAAGCTGTGAATCCTAGATGAGGGCACTGAGGTGCAAAACCTGCAATTGGTGCAGTTTGACAAAAATTCGAAGTTGCTCTAGACACACCAGATGCGAAACCAGACGATTGACTACGGATAGTATGAGGATGCTTCATAGAACTAGACTGGGGAATGTGGAACGGAATATTGATAGAATTGCTAGAGGAGTTACTGCTAAATCCAGTTGACTCAGCTGCACTTCTCTCAGGTTGTGGTCTGGTTAGATGATACTCTTCTAAACCAGATGATCGATGATATCTCGAAGTACGATTCACAACGTGAGGTCGAGTGTGTGTACGAACAGTGATCGGACCTCCATAAGCAGTAACAGGGAAGACATGTGTAGTCCCATGATTGCTGCTAACAGCTACCCACCGAGAATCATGAGAGAAAGTAGCATCCACAATCTAAATATATACGAATCAAATGAAGTAATAAATTTATTGAGTAAATGTATTACTCTGAAGCTTTTTTTCTACGCAATATAAATGCTAGTAGTGCTAGTGCAAAAAAGTATGCATATTACAATATTTCTATGACAGAATATGAATTCCTATATCTAACAGATACAGTAGAAAACAAAAGACACACACGCACTAGACAAGAATATTTGAGAGGTGCTTTAGCTAAGTGTAAAAATATCAAATTGGAAATATTTTGTGTATAATCGAATTCTGCAACAAGACGCTCTATATTGTGACAGTATAAACGTAAGCATATTTACTTAAGAGCTAAGTTCCTAAGCCAAACTATCATCAGTTCGTGTAGCAAAATAACTGTGTTTGGAGTGCCAACAGGAAAAAACCTAAATGTCTAAGCTTCCATTAAGATGAGAACAGGAAGTTAGTGTAAAATGTTATATGCAAGGATCTAATCTAAAAAAATAGATGTTGTTCGAAATTGACAATATGGGAATATTTCAAATATGCAAGAAAGTTTGAAATGGTGCATGATAACATGCCTACTACATTTGAATTCGAGAAAAGATGACCAAATAAATTTTCATTGAAATAAAAGTTTTTTAATAGTGTAGAGAAGATACGATTTTAGGAAATGGTTTTAAAAAAACTGATGTTCAGTACATGATCAACAAAAACTAAGATATTGAAGTGCATTCTCTATTAATACTATCGTATAATTAGATTAAGAAATTCAAAACAATGAGTAACGACTTCTACAGGAAGGTACAATGACAAAAATATAATATAACATGAACGGTATAAGCTATAATTAGTAGAATAAATAGAAAAATTTAGTTTAGTAAAGCAAAATGTCGAAAGCACGTAAAAAACTTAGCGGTTTATTACAAAGAAAAAAGTATTACCTTTTGGTGGCCCACTAATCTGACTCCAATTCGTATAGACGTATGAATATGTTATGAACATATTAAACTCCTTTTATTACCTAGGTTAACCCTGTTTGTGCGATGGCGGTAATGAGGCCAACTGCAGGTTGGGTTGGATGAATTTATTTCAAGCACTCGTTTATCCAAGCAGACATTCAGAATGAAAAACAGGAGATCAAAGCGAAGCGGAGGAAGCGAGCCCATTTTGATAAAACGAGACTTAATATTTGTAACCAGACAAAAAAAAACTGCAGGCATGTGATGAATGGGGTAAGTGATACACATAAATACGCCATTTTTTTATTTTTTTTCGTCCCATTCGAAAAAATTTTTCATCCCCATGTTCCAATAATCATATAAAATAGCGAGTAACTGACATGGTCAAAATACGACTCAAGAATGAATAAATGGTCAGTCCGGAAGCCAAATTAATTCATATGTAGCTCGGGATAAGGCTTAACACTACAACCTACGAAAAATATTGTCCGACCGCCAATTTTCTTTTCGAATTGCCCCCACCCCCATCAAGAAAAGGTTTTTCCACCCCCAAATTACAATATTTTTCATCCCCTGTTTCGTCCAATGAAATGGTTAGTTTTAAAACTTCGATGCAATTGATTAGTTATGTCTTGAAAAACGTTATAAATTGTCAGCACTTTTGGACGATGTACATTTTAATCGTCATTATAGAGGACAGAAACGTTCCGAGTGCAAGCGCTGTTGTTTCTCACGTAACGGAAATGGATGAAGTCTTTTAAAACAACCTTGTTTCTGCTTGCATTTCCATCGGTTGAAGACTGCTATCATCAATTATGAAAGATCGAGTTACAGTCATTATGTTGTGCGAGATTCGCATATTGGCAGTGATCAAAATTCGTATATTAAATTTGTGTGTTGGAGAAATGGACGTATAAGATCTAGCGGTTTGTCACAGCGTATTAGACGGAGGAGGTAATTTGGTTAATGTTATTATAATTTGTTTCACGAAGCGCTCCCATGAACACCTAATGTCGGGCCTTCATCTTTTGTAAGATTGTAGACGGCTACTGGACTGTTGTACGTGAGAATGTGCATCACAATCACGAGTTCAGTTCCCTGAGGTACCAAGGTAATTCATGGGTGCGTAGGTTAACAGATGGGGAGTTTGAAACAGTGAGACTGCTGCTGATATCTGATACCGCAGCATTCCACGTAAAGAATTTTGCTTACCAATCTTATGGTAAAAGACTGACTGATCAAGATGTCTGTAATATGCGGTATAAAGTGTTCTCACACGCGAACCTTCCAGGTAAGCTATTTGCCAATTTCTAATGTACACCATAGGTGATTACGGCAAATTACAAGCTCACATAATATCCTAGGGTGGGCTTTGCGAATACGAATTATACGATGATAACCGCCTATCGTATTTCTTCTTCATGACTGCAGAGCAATTGAATTGGGCCGGTCACTTTTGCAACGTTATTGGTTTTGACGGGACGTACAAAACGAATACGAGAACGTCCATTTATATCAAGTAGTTGCTCTAGATATGAATTTAAAGGCAATACCCATCTGCATTGCCTTTTTAAGTCATGAAACGTCAACATTAATTTCTACGTTTCTGCGTTTTTTCCAACGGTGTGCGAACAATCGACACGTGGTAGGCATAGTGACAGATGACTCACCTGCAATAGCTTCTGCTATCACGCAGGTGTATCCGAATGCCCACCATATTCTGTGCCGCGTACAACTCGTTCGGAATGTGATAAAGAGGGTAAGTGGATAGTTTATTAACATTACTCATTAATCGTTAATGTAGAGGGTTAGATCCAAAATTCTACAACTGTTCTTTCGCCTCATGTTCACTCGAACGGTTGAAAGGTAAATCAAAATTTGCATAACATGATTTTGTAGTTTTAACAACGTACTTTCGATAATAGAAATGTCTGACGGAACGTTTGGAAGATACGTCAGAGAACACCTACCAAGGAAACACAAATGGTCTACTGCTTTTCGACCGCCAACAACGCTGTTTGAACTGAACAATACGAACTTCGTAGAGACGAGCCACAGAGTGTTGAAGATGTATCACCTTAATCGGAAAACACCCGTGCTCAGATCAATTTTCAGTGTGTTGCTTCGTACTGGGTATTGGATGGAAGCAAGATTACAGAAATATTCAACCGATTGACGTAGGAAAGCCGACATTGGTCTACTTCAGGAACGACTGACATCAGCTGCCTGTCAACTACTGAAGCGACACCTTCGCATTCCTATAAAGCAGTCTGTATTGTCCATTCTTCATTGAAAACGGATTAACATGCCGTCACATCTTGGCTTACTACGCACACAGTAATACTGATGTTAACGTACAGTCAATTTGTAACCGGTGGTTACACTGTGATGCTTATCTGACTCATATCGCAGTTGAGAATTATTTCCCAATGCAATTAAGTCAGCCGAGCATGAAGAATGCAGTGATAGCGTTTGTCAGGCGAATGTCTGAGGAGCAATGCAGTTCACTTCATCGCTTCCTAGTTCAAGGTAGACTATCAACAACACCGTTAACTTGCATGGAGAACAACATTCGTACACCCATCCAACAACCTAGACTGACGTGACATTACCGTTTATGCAACGAAAAGCTGTTGATTTGGATGAAACGCTCAGTGACGATAAGGAGGAAGTATTTAGTATTAACTCTGAAGAGTTAACTGAACGGGACATCCAAAGTGAAGAAGAGGATGAAGAGAACCGACTATGCAATATCTGTAATCTTGCGCAGCCGCCTTGTGGAACTAATGATGCGGTTGGTTGGGTTTTCTGTAAATGTGAAGCAATGTTTCATACCTCCTGTGCCTACGACCCATCACCGAACTTTTTAGTAGGAATATTTCAATATAGTGAAAATTGTAATTTTGTCATAAGGTCAATGAATTTAGAAAAACGTTTATTAGTGAATATAATAAGATGATTACAAGGATGAATGTGATCAAAGCTCATAGAGAAGTGAACACAATTAAGAAAAATATCTTATTTATGAATAAAATAATAACAGTATAAAACAAGATGAAACCGTAATCAATGAATTGATTAATGTGATTAAAGTTAATATAGTGGGTGTAAAAAGAAAAAAGAATATAATCCATTTCATGCATACAAAAATAATAAACTTATATTCTTGTTTTATTTTAAAAGTACATTATAGCAGAACTATGCGTACGTCGGAAGTACGTCTGATCGTCAACTAAGCCTTCATTGTTATTCATCAATACTGATCATAACACCGTATTCATTTACACACATATATTACTATTAATGAATGGTACCATCACATTTCAGCTTTAAAAAATTCTCATAAATTATTCAGAAATAAAAATAATTTAGCGAACAATCGTTTTCAATAACTTCATCATCAAACTAGACAGTTATAAGTCCATAATTTTAATATTTTAAAAAGGCCAAGAATGAGGCACGGCATTTATGAATTTCACAATGGGTTAACATTGCTGACCTGACCGTTGTTGCTACCTTGACGTGGTGGTCGGGCTTGCCTATCGTGATGAAGTAACTGAGCTATACTGGCTGGAACAACCGTTCCTCAAGGTCCTACCATGCCAGACAGGTCGGTTGAAGAGCGGTAAGACTAAAAGCAACAAAACCTAGGTCCGAAGGCGAAGTCGTACTGCTGACTGTACAGAGGTGTGACAGCAGTAAGGTGTTTCCTTCAGACAACCAGCATAACAGCGATGCTGCCCTAGTACGAGCACGCATCTGCTTGCGCCTCACTGGACGCAAAAAAGCCACACAAAAAAGACTCATTAGAAACGAATTGAGTAATGAGAAAACCAAAAGTAGGTTCCAGGAACAACTGAGGTCACACTTAGGTAGTTGTGAAAACGAGGCTGACCCAGATGTTGATTGGAAAGACATACAAGCAGCTGTGGAAACAGCAGTGACATCTACCAGTGATTTAAACCACAGGGTTACAAAAAACCAATGGATTTCGTCAAGGTCTATTGCACTGATAGATCCTCGCAAACTCATCCCATCAGGTTTTGAATACGATGAAGAGCGTAA